GCGTTTCCATGCTGAGACGGGAAGTGGAGGGTGAATAGGTCACGGTGACCTTTGTGGTTTTGTTTGGTTGTTTGAAGTTGAACTCTTCCTTTTCCTGTCTAATCATCCTGGTCAGCCTTCTGCTTCTTGGTATCCACATCATCATCATCATCATCATCTTCAGCTGCCCGTTTGCCTGTAGCTGCCTCAGCCTCCTCATCTTCAATCTCTTCTTCTTTACCATCACCTTCCTCCTCTTCATCCTCCTCTTCCCCACCTTCTTCCTCTCCTTCATCTACCTTGTCGTCAGCCTCCGGTTCCCCATTTTCCTCGGTAGCGGGGGCATCTCTTCCATTCTCCGCCTCGTTCACAACCTCCTTCTTCTCCTGTAAGTCCTTGGTGGTGATCTCAGAGCTGGTGTCCACGGCCCATCTGACGTGGTGTGGTGTGCGGTGATCCCTTACAGTGGATGACAGAGAACGAGCTTCGGGAGTCCACAGTGGCGGAGGTGGCTTCAGCAAGCGGAACCTGGTAACAATGCAAAGATGCCTTTTCAGAGTAGCCAGTTGTGAAAAGTTTTAAGTTGCACTAATAAGTAGGCCTTATAACAATCACTCATAACTGAATCATATACATAGTCCTATTAGCATCATCCCACACCTTTTCTTACTGAGAACCTTCAGGATATAAGGGAGCAGAATCCACCCCTTCTGCATGATGCTGCTGTTTTATGATGTGAGTTACAGAAGCTGTGGTTTAAAAAGCAATATCAAGTAATTCACTGCATGGCAAGTGTATTAGGCAGGGTTCTCTAGAGAAACAAAACTGAGTTACACACACGTAAACATGTGTATGGATAGGTTTATATCAGGGAAAGGATTATAACAGCTAAGTAGTCCACACAGCAGTACAGAGGGCTCAGTTGATCTCACTCTCTAGCATCAGCCCTTCAGCTCACACAGGCTGCCGGTCCAAGGTCAAGGAAGCAGACAGTAGAGTCTGCCCTCAGACAAGATAAGCAGGGTGAGACAGGGACAGCAAGCCCACAATAGTGCAGCACACCATGGAGGCAAAGCACTAGTCCAATCACCAGGGAGAAAGAGAGAAGGGATCCAGTCTTGGAAAGCCACATACCTTGTTGCCCTCCAATCAAGCTGCAACCAGATTAAACTCCTTTCACATGTTCCTATGGAAACCTAGTTGGCACAATAAACCTATCACAGCAAGTCACCCCTTGCCTCTGCTAACCAGTTTCCTTTCACATATGAAGGATAAACTTCCCCTTTTTTTACAATTATTTTAACAGTAAGTACACTTTTGAAAGTGGGTAAGCCAGCTCCTTCATGCCATTTTCCTTCTATTGTAGATATCTAATTTCTAAATTTCTCATTCATATCAAACAAATACTCTGAGGCACTAAGCATGTTCTTTAATGTGAAAATATTCATTGTGCATCCATAATTGGAGTCCATTCCAGAGCAAGCCATTACATTTATACCAGCCCCTAGTGTCAAATATTTTCTATAACAGCTAGATTCCAGTCATACCAACTACAGCCACCCAAGCTAGGTTAACTGGGTATCAGCTGCAAATTGGGGGTCCATAACAGACTCGTGGGACCTTTCTTTCTTTAATATCCCCAAGGACTAGGTCAGGGCCCATAAGCTCATCAGTCTATGTAATATGTACATTTCAAACCATTGGCCCTATGATCCATTCTTAATGCATCTCTTCATTGCTCTACTTCCCCCAATTCGTCTGCCACATGAATTCTTTCAATGTTGTGAAGCAAGAACCATGTGTCCCAATCTGGAAACCTAACAAAGTCACTGTCAATCCATCTGATTAGAAGGACTTCCTCAATATCCATTACAAAGAATGATGTCCTTTTCCAGGGACAGGTCTCTCCTGATATCATGTTCAATGTAAGTGAGCTGATGTCTTACCATCTTACCTTATATGAAATGTTCTGGCTGTAATCTTCCCAGGACAGATGTGTTTGTTCTTCTAGCAGTATGAGATACTTTCAATATTCTTTCCTAACACTGTAATTCAAATGCAACAATTATACTTGGTTAGTTGTTCTAGATTAACAATACTAATTAAATGAACAACTCATACACATATGCGATTGAAAATACCATGACATGGGTCAAACACCTTAGTCCTCAAAGTGGCAGCTTTGCTTTTCCAGCCTTTTAAAATGTCTGGGACAGCAGATTTCTCCAATGCAACATATTGTTTGTTTTCCTGCCAGCTGCTTCAGTGAGCATTGATTGTGTAGTTGTTAGATGCTGTGTTAGTCTGGGTACTTTAGAGAAACAAATCCACAGGAACTCATGTATAAGAGAGAGTTTTATATAAAGGGTAAGTGCACATCAAGAAAACATTCCAACCTAGTGCTTCCCAGTCCTGCAAGTCCAACATTAACCCATATGTCCGACATCAATCCACAAAGTCCTCCTC